ACGATTCCTGATTTTTGAAACGATCCGGTCCATTTTCGTGAAATCCGAGTCGAACCGGGCGAGTCCGGTTCGACTCGACGATTTTTTAAACGCTGCTTTAAACCATTGAAATCCCATTCTTATTCCCTTCCTCTTAAGGAGGATACCTCTTCCCCTCATCCATTTTTCATTAACTCCTAGGCAGACATATCAAGTTATGAGAGCCCTTAAATGGTTTATTTATTTATTTATTATTGAATAATTTAATAGGAAAGCCAAATCCTTACCCATTTTTTTAAATAGTTTTTAAGAGTTGACCTTTTAATTTAATTTCAACGTAGTTGTGAGAAAGGGGATGGATCTTGGTGGTAGCACCCCCGCACTTTCATCCCAATGTTATGCTTTCCAGTCCTATTGATATCACCACACTAATACTATGAAAACAAATTAATTTCTTGGCTATTTGAAATACCATGGTTTCCACCCACACTAATAGTTTAAAAACAAATTAATTTCATGACTATTTAAAATACCATTGAAATTCTAAAAAAAATTAAATACCATTGAAATTCTAATAAAAATATTAATAAAATGATGTTAGTGGGAATGAAAACCAAAATTAAATACCATTGAAATTCTAATAAAAATATTAATGAAATGATGTTAGTGGGAATGAAAACCACAATGGATGTTGCTACCACCACGGCCCAACCCCTTTTCCAAAAATATCCCATTATAGTTTTCTTGAGTATTTGAAAAAAAATAAAATAAATTTTACTATTTAATTATCTAGAAAAATATTAATTAATAAAAAGATGCAGTTTGCATATGGATGCATCCGTAAGTAGAGAGGTAACGTGCACCTTCCAATTTTATTGGAAGGCATACAATTTTGATGTAAAATAATCTTAGTATTATCTCAAATTCAATTTTTATATCGAATTATCCTGCTTTGCTTTACACAAGCATGGTAAGCTGATTTCTTTCTCACCTTCAAAGTTCAAATCAACCCAACCAATAAAATACACCAAATCAAGCAAAATCCTTGCTACCACACCATGAGCATCAAATTCATTGACAGAAATCAAATTGAAGTTCTAAAAAATCAAATAAACTCCAGTTTCTTACCTAAAGACCAAATACATCACACACTACTCCAAATCAATCAATCCTATTCCTTAACCCAAAAACCAAATACAGTTCAATTTCCACAAGATTAATACAGGTTAAAGGATAGCAAAGTGATATTATACCCAGAAGGGGTAAAAAGAGAAGAGAAAGCACCATTATAGGAAACTTGGAATGGCCTTGAAGGCGACCAGACCCAGCACCCAATGAGTCCAAAACCATACTTCCCTGTACACCTCAAAACAGTTCAACAATGACGGATAAACCAACCATAACATAAGAACAGATACAGAGCGCAAATGATATTACAGGGCTTCAACCAGTATGGCAAGGCAGGCCATGAATAAAAACCCAAAGGCCTGCAACTTGAGGGGCCCATGTACAAAGAACAGAGGGGAAAACACAGGGGAAAACAAAGAGGAGAAAGCCACCTCTCTCTTCCAACTCCTCTACTCCTTATAGTACACCACAACAAGCAGCAAACCCAAATCCAGACTGTACAAGAAGTGGATGGTTTGCGAGATCTTCTTCGTTGATTTCAAAGACCCCGGTATCAAATATATTCCGGTATTATCGACCACCGGTCGCAACCAATTCTCTCTCCTGTGATTCTTGACTAGTTTTCTTGGTTGCGAATTGGGTCGAGTCTATATTTACAGGAACAGGAGCCATGTCTGCACTAGGCAATGACATTGGTTTTGCAGGCAAATAATTGAATGACAGTTCTTTGTTTGCAGCCAAAGCCTCGAGCTCGTGATCCTCCAGTCCTCTTGCTGGTCCAAGGCTGCACCTCTCTGTTGTGTGTTTTGCCAGTGCATCCTTGAACTTCTTTATCTGCAAAATTAAAAATTCATACCATATGAGAGAGAGAGAGAGAGAGAGAGAGAGAGAGAGAGAGAGAGAGAGAGAGAGAGAGAGAGAGAGAGAGAGAGAGAGAGAGAGAGAGAGAGAGAGTAGTAGTAGTAGTAGTAGTAGTAGTAGTAGTAGTAGTAGTAGTAGTAGTAGTAGTAGTAGTAGTAGTAGTAGTAGTACGTAGTACGTACGTAGTAGTACGTAGTAGTAGTAGTAGTAGTAGTAGTAGTAGTAGTAGTAGTAGTAGT